GCTTGCTTAAAATAGTGCCCGAAAATAATCCTTGAGTGCTTCCCGGAATGTGAAGTTTGTTTAAAAAGCATTTTTACGTCTTTTTAACCTTTCTATTAATCTTATCTCTTGTATAATATTCTCTCATTGTGTATTCAGTCCTGCATATATGTATATATACACACTTTCTTTTACTTATGCCAAGAAGTTAATTAGTGAGATAAAAACAGATCTGCAAACATGTAAACATATGTACATGTGTCTGTGTGAATGCATGTGCCTATATATATATGAAATTACATCAAGATAATGCAGGCACAAAAAGTGAGTGTTTAAAACAACTGTTTTCATAACAAAAGTTCAAGGCTGAAGGTGCATGTTTGCATAGACTGTCCTTATTTTCTAAATTGGCAGCTTTTAAATTGGGAGGTTTTCAAGCTGAATCAAAAGCTTAAAATTTGCAAAGCTCAAAGGCCCCCCGGGAATCAAGACTCCTCTTCATAGTTCTCCCCAATTAAACTCTTACAAATTAGAGTGAACTTTGTGTCCATCTTCTATTGTAGCCTATTTGTATCATCTGAGATAATCATCATGAGGCCTATCACTTGCTCTGATCTGACCCAGAAGTTTAAAACATGATGTATCCTAACATATCCTGACACATCTCTTGCTAACCCACAGGTCAGCAAAAATCAGGAGACAGGTTCGGGATGATTAACCATGACATGGCTTTATAGATCTAATGCAGTATGTGTGTATGTGAAGCTTCATCCATACAGATAATACATACATATACGTATATGGGACAGAGAAGAGTCAAGTGTGTGTTTTTATTTAGAAAAAGATCCAGTGTTATGTCTTCTACCCTTGGAGGCTAATTTTATATGACTTCAAGATTAAAAATTTATCTCCATCTGAAATAGAGGGCTACCCATGCATATAAAATAAAACAAAAACAAGTATAAGGCTTTTTGGGCAAAGAAGGGAGAGCATCGTTGTATGCTGTAGAGGTTCAGCTTACTTGTCTACTGCCTGGTTTATAGCTGCGAGCATGCATGGTATATCTTCACTCGCTGGCTTCCTTATACACATTGTCACAGGAGGCTTGGCTTAATCAGTAGTAAGCTGAAAAGTAATATAAATTGGAACCTTTTGTCATGAAATATTTAAATGTGGATATGATTTAATGGCTTTGGGGAGAAAATTTAGCATGAGAGATTGTAAGAAACAAGAAATCGATTACATGTAAGAAAGGACTTGAACCTCTAATCAAGTATTACCATATATAGAGAGATCCCTTGCTAGTTATAGCTTAATTCAAAGGGGATAATGGTTAGATTTTTTTTTTAATTTTAAGTTTTATCAAAAAATGACATTCCTATTCACTCTTTATCTAGTTCTGCATAATACATAGTTGGTGATTTGTAGAAAAACCATCACTATGTAAATACTGAAGCGTGTCCTATACAGTATCCTATACAGTAGTATGCTTTCTAAGAAATATAGGCAACTGTGCAATTTTTCTTTACTTTTGTTAAGAAAAAAAAAGCTTCTTCCTGAAAATTAAACACAGTTTAGCTATTAAATATATTCTTATTTTAGCTAAAAGTTAATTATATACAAATTGAAAGTAAAATGCCACATTTTTGTTTTTTTTTTTAAAAAGACTGATTTCTTCATTCAGAAGACAAAAGTATTTTCAAAGTTCCTTTCAAAAAATAAAAAATATATATTAGGAGATACCTAAACATATAAGCACATCTCTATCTATTTACCTATTTATCTAAAATATTTTTAAACTTCTCAAATACATCAGTTCATGTAGCACTTACAGGAAGAAGAATAAAATATAGGTTATCCCCAAAACTGTCAAAAAGCAAAACTAGAAAATACATTTACATGTCTGATGACAACAGCCTCTCTTATACTTGCTGGCTTGATCACTGCTGTGGTAAACTCTGTAAAGTTCCTTTTGGTCCTGAAGGTCGTAATGCCTGAGACTTGCTTTATAGATTGAGGATCAGGGAATAGAGAGCATTCCTCAGCTGTATTAGTGCTCGATGCAACCCGTACGAGTAGGCAAGAGTCATTTAAGACTAGCTTTCTGATTCCCTGCTCTCTTATAACATTAAAGGATAAGCTCCTGCGATCAAACCTGTAACTGTAGAACTCTGTGATCAGTGGGTCTTATTGGACCGTGTAAGTAAGTCTCTCTCTCCTTACTGGATATCCAAATTTTTTTTTTAGTGTTTGCCTTAAGTAAATGAAACGAAAGGTAGAGAGGTCTCTATAAGAGCTAGATCGGATAAACACTGATGGTGTCTTTGAGTTAGGCTGTGGAATAATTCCCGGAGAGTGTGACGAGAGCCCCAGCATGAGGGAGGCCTGTTGTGTGTTATGTGAACAGCAAGATCCACTGCCAACATGTGAGATGACTAGTCCCATCATCAGACTTGTGGGAGTCTGTACCTACTGTTCTCATGAATTAGTCTCAAGTGGGCAGCATATAATTTTTATTTACTTATATATTCACGTTTATAAAGCACGCATCTGTTACTTAAGCCGTGAGTGATTTACAAGTTAAAGCAAAACAAAACAAATTACTAGCAGTAGTGCATTTCAGAGCAGCCTGCAGTTGGCTGCAGATAGGAGTCCTAATTCAATACACATAAGCAATATAAATTAGCATCATTTTCATCTTCCAACAATGCAAGTTACAGTTAGAAGACCTGAATACCTGTGGCTTTGGAATAAAAGTGTGTGTGGTATAGATTGAGTCAGAGGTGATGGCAAAGGCCTGGAGACCAAAATATGAACTGTGTCCAGTTCTGGACACATGGGAATTGCTCAAGAAATCAAACCATTTTGGCTAGCTGGAAGCTGTGGGCGAAGTAAATATGAGAAGCTTTAGGTCACATTCACAGGGAAAGTAGCCAAAGTTAGTTGGACGGAAAGAAAATATACTCTTAGAGTCTTTAAATGTATATTTATTCTTCCTTCTCTTTTTTGCTGTTGTTTTGTTGTTGCTTTGTTTTTGATACTCATTGTAATTTCTGCTGCATTGCACTGACTTCCTGTAGCACACTTGCTCACATCCATCAGACGTGTAGAAGTGGGAGAGCACAGAAATTAGAGATGTCCACAGTGCCTTTGAAAAGTTTTCAAAGCTGGGGACATGCCCTGACCAATGCTGTGAAGCAGGACTATCATCTGCATGATGCCCTTTGTTTAATCTCCACGTCGATTCACACTAAACAGTTCAGGGATAGAGAGAGCTTGTGAGTTTAGACATTTTACTGAACTGTTAAGGCATAGACATGGCTTCTGGGTCTCTGCATCTTGGTCAACTGGATGAGAGTCTGTTCAAGGATATTCCATTATTAGGCTACGGTTGGAGATTTCCCAGTCTTGTAAAGCTTGAGTATAAACTGTCATGAATGGAGTCCTTCAGAAGGCTTTACAGTCACATCTTTGCTGTGGCATTCACCTTAATTATTAACTTTGCATCAGGAAGTAACAGAAATCAGACTGGAATAATGAAAAACAGGTCTAATCAGAATTAAGTATCTATTTTTCTGCTGGAGTAAATTGCATTTTCTAGTTATGTGGAAAATGGAGGGTGGGAAAGAAAGAGGAAAGAATCAATTCTCTGAAGACTGGGAAATAATAATTGAGCCTGAAAATTTCAAAAAATGTCCAGGCTCTTAATCAAAAAGGGGCTAGTGAGTTTTGCAGAGTGTTCAGCTAGGTTCTGAAGCTGATGTTCAAGATCTAGAAAGACTAGAGATCATACTGAGTTTCTTGCAAAGCTTTCAGACTGTTTAATGCATGAGGAAGCACTGGAATAATTCTGGTTTGATGGCCTGCAACAGTGCTTGTTGGTAATAGTTAGGGTGCTGATGATATGTCCAGCATTTGCCCAACAGGAAAGATGCCAATAAAATGATGTATTCATTATATAAGTATTTTAATATGTTTTTATCAATACATGCTGGAATGGATTGCCTGACATTACATTGCAGAATTTTTAAGTCCTACCTCCAGGCAAATCTCATGCTTACTAGCAAAAATGAAAGTGTGAAATGCTTTTTAATGTATATTTAACAACAGATAGTCTAGTGATTACTGATGTGTATTCTCTCTGGATTTTTCCCTTGCTATCAGAAGGCAATGTTAAGAGACAACATTTTTACACATTTATGCTATCTACATCCATCAGATGTTTACTTTTTAAATATTTGTAACTGCCATTATAACAAGGCTGCAAAAAATTCATGTCTTAAGTCTAAACCATGCCAAGATTGCAATCTTCCAATCAATTGCCAGTAATTGTCTAGTTATACTTAAAACCGATTCCTCAATATCTGCCTTCAGATGCAAGCTAGTAATGAATGTGTTTTTCAGTATTGGTCTCATGGGAAAAAAAAGAAAGGAAAGAAAAGGAATAATATGCTAGTATTATATGCTATTTTTAAGATCTTTTGCCATACATTAACATTTTTTGCAGTTATTTCAGAGGATAGTTTGTGAGTTGCTTCAGACTTAAAACTACTTATATTTAAGAAGCAAATCTAACATTTATTTAACTCTTTTTTGTAGTGTCACCATTTAATTAAGATTAAGGAACAATTTGGGTATTTTACAATAGAGTGCAGGGCAAGAATTCGTACCTTAAGCCAGTGTAAGCTGAAGAGTTGCACAGTACATAGATCACTGTTGTTAAAATAACAGTATTGAATGCATTTTAGATCACAGAGCCCCAGTGGTCTACATTTTGTTTGCTCTGACATTATTAAACTCAATCTGTTTCCCTAACTGTGACTCTAATTACTATATTTGCATGGCTGAAAAGTTTGCTTTTTTTAGTCTACTTCTGTTAATACAGTTCGCCTGTTGTTTTCTTTAGCTTAGTGTTTCATGTGCAGGCAGCAGAGCACTTTCTATTGAATTCAATAATTATGCAGAATCAATAAGTTTTTTCTTTGTGTTTTTCTTTGTTGTTTCTTTGATATGGCCTCTAGGATGCTGCAGGCAAGGTGCTGGACCGCTGGGCCATCATGTCCAGGGAAGAAGAGATCATTACCCTTCAGCAGTTTCTGAGATTTGGAGAAACCAAATCCATTGTGGAGCTGATGGCAATTCAAGAAAAAGAAGGGCAGGCTGTGGCTGTGCCATCTTCAAAGACAGATTCAGATATAAGGACTTTTATTGAAAGCAATAATCGCACCAGGAGCCCGAGTCTCCTTGCTCACCTGGAGAATAGCAACCCTTCCAGCATTCATCATTTCGAAAACATCCCGAACAGCCTTGCATTTTTACTTCCATTCCAGTACATAAATCCAGTCTCTGCTCCACTGCTGGGGCTGCCTCCAAACGGCCTCCTGTTGGAACAGCCAGCAATGAGGCTGCGTGAACCAAGCCTTACAACCCAAAATGAATATAATGAGAGCAGTGAGTCTGAAGTTTCCCTCTCTCCTGTCCAGACATCAACTCCTGTCAATGATTTATCCAAAACAGAGCACACAAAAAGCTCATTCCGCATTCACAGGATGAGAAGAATGGGGTCTGCTTCGAGGAAGGGAAGAGTGTTTTGCAATGCATGTGGTAAAACTTTCTATGACAAAGGTACTCTGAAAATCCACTACAATGCCGTTCACCTGAAAATCAAGCACCGGTGCACTATTGAAGGCTGCAATATGGTCTTCAGTTCACTCAGAAGTCGTAATCGTCACAGTGCAAACCCCAACCCTCGCCTCCACATGCCTATGCTAAGGAATAACCGAGACAAAGATTTAATTCGTGCTACATCCGGTGCCGCCACTCCTGTCATAGCAAGTACCAAGTCCAGTCTAACTTTAACAAGCCCTGGGCGTCCACCGATGGGATTTACCACTCCTCCTCTAGACCCTGTACTACAGAACCCTCTTCCTAGTCAGCTGGTGTTTCCAGCTTTAAAGACTGTCCAACCTGTTCCTCCTTTTTACAGAAATTTACTTACTCCTGGGGAGATGGTGAGTCCACCAACATCCCTTCCCACCAGTCCCATAATACCAGCAGTGAGCAGCATGGAGCAGCATCCTCCTCCTCCTTCAGAGTCATCTGTACCTTCAGTGCTGATGCCCACCCCGGAGCCTAATGCTGATCTTGCCCCTAAGAAGAAGCCAAGGAAGTCAAGCATGCCAGTTAAAATAGAAAAGGAAGTTATCGATACTGCTGATGAGTTTGATGATGATGAGGAGGAGGTGAACGACAGCAGCACAATGGTGAATGATATTGGTCATGACAATCACTGCCATTCTCAGGAGGAAATGAGCCCTGGTCTGTCAGTGAAAGACTTTTCCAAGACTGACAGAAGCAGATGCATTTCCAGACCAGAGATAAGAAGGGCAGATAGCATGACTTCAGAAGACCAAGAGCATGAGCGAGACTACGAAAATGAGTCGGAGTCCTCAGAGCCCAAACTGTGCGAGGAATCCATGGAAGGTGACGATCGCCTGCATGAACCTGGTGAGAAATCCATGATGCATGGTGACAGGCCAGATGAAAACCACAATGACTCTTCTAACCAGGATGTCATTAAGGTGAAGGAAGAGTACACAGACCCTACATACGATATGTTTTACATGAGCCAATATGGACTGTACAATGGAGGCAGTGCCAGTATGGCAGCCCTTCATGAAAGTTTCGCTTCCACATTCAACTACAGCAGCCCTCAGAAGTTCTCCCCTGAAGGCGAGCTCTGCTCAAGCCCAGACCCCAAGATCTGCTATGTGTGCAAGAAGAGTTTCAAGAGTTCCTACAGCGTGAAGCTTCACTACAGAAACGTTCATTTAAAAGAGATGCATGTCTGCACGGTGGCTGGCTGTAATGCTGCCTTCCCATCACGGAGAAGCAGAGACAGGTCAGTAAATATTAATTGATTTTCTACATTATTAAATGTGTTGAATTATGTAAGAATAGGCAGTTTAGGGTGTATAAAGAGATAGAGAGATGCACAGTAATAGCAAGTGACAATCATGTTCCCATGATGTTGAGAGAGTTTTATCACTTCACGATTTTCATTGTTGCCTGGCACTCAGAATAGTGTATGTCTGCCATCATCTTATGTGACTGGCTAGATAATAAATGTCATTATTCTTTCTGTGTGCCTGTGAACATTTGTGTATTGTACTTCTGTTTATAAGCTGCAGCTTTGTATTACATTCATTTTCTTCTCCCTGCAGCTTTTATACCAAGAAAAGCTTCTACTAAATATTTAGTCAATTGTATACAATACAAAAATCTTCATGAATGCACTTTAAAACATTGAACTAGGAAGGAGGGGAAGGGACGAATGGATTAATGGATGTTTGGATAGGTGGATGGATGGATAGATGGATGGATGGATGGAAGGAGAAGAGGGAGGGATAAAATGGAAAGACTTGTATAAAAGAATGATTTCCATCTCCATAGGACCATATGAAAGCAAGCAGGAAGCAGTAAAAGAATGTTCTTTCTTTTCTTCAGTTTTTAAAGCTGACTGGTACATTGTAGCAAACTAGTGGAAAGTAAAAGAAAATCGTTCTCTCTTTAGGAGAACTTACATCTTTCTGTCCAGTATGGCCATTTAGTCCAGCCTGTTTTCCGCATGTAAGCAACTCCCTTCCCCACTGATGGGAATTCAGTGCACTCAGAAAGGAGAGGCTAGACCCGTACATATTATTAAGATCAACAAGGGTATATTCTGCTGGGCTGTCAGATGACATCATACCCTAGCTATGCTGCATCAATACTGAAACAGTTGGGCTTAAACAGAAGCAGCTGGTCCTTAACCTCGTAGGTTTTTTTTTTTTTTTTTTTTTTTTAATACACTGTTCTTTTTGATTCCTAAGGAAAATGTAATATAAATGGAATTTGTCAAGGTGGTAGGTTAACACAGTTATTTCATACTTGTGGATGAAAGTTCTCACATGTGATGATGATCATATTGTCACATAACAAAATACGGAGTTCATAGAGTGGTGGTGAGATTGGTTCATCCTTTTCCTTTATTTGTGTTTCATATTTTTTCATTATGCTGTAAAAATTCAGCAGACACAGGAAGGAAATTAAACCTAGATAAACATTTCACACACATTCCTTTATCTTTTTTTTCACTGAACTTGATAGAGTTTGCAAGCAAATATTTCATGTCATATAAAATGAAAGCAACTTAATGTTGAGGAGATTGAGGACCCAAACTCACTATTTTGATGTAAAGTCTAGTCCCTGAGTATCTCATGTCTCCTGTTAGCCATTTATGAAATCCATGAAATATAAAAAACAGGAACACACATTACAAAACAGTTCCATATGGATAAAAAGCAGGTAAAAATTAAATTACGGATTCCTATCTCTGCTGATAATTTTTTGAGATTTGACAATGGAAACGTAGAAGAATCCTTTGAAGAACTGGTGCCTCAATGGTATATTCCGTGCTGGGCTTAACTATGTTCAACCCTTTCCAGTTCCTGAAATTACATAGGTTTTTTAATAGTGCAATCCTGTTTGATTGGCCAGTTTCCTCACATGAGTTATAAAGTGCCTGCTATGTACCAAGAAAAGCAGCTTTTCATTCAGTGTGCAAAGTGAGAAATGGCTAGCTTTGCACTCAGAATATTATTTGAAGTCTTCAATTTCAGTAGGAAACCACTGATAGATTATACTAATAATAAAAAGTTAGCATACTGAAGATATGTATGTGTATATATATATGTGTGTGTGTGTGTGTATATGTATATATATATATAAAGAGATTACTGTGATGATATATATATAATATTTGAGACTTGAACATTTAAAGAAAAACACATTTTGAAAATATTTCATGAGCTGGGTAGGATATTCTTATTAAGCAATTTGAAAGGAAGTCATAAAAATATTTGTTTCAGGAACTGAAATTGAAGGCTGTATATTTAAAGATTTTTTATTTACATATTATTTTGCATTGTGTAAGGCATGGGACCATCTTTTCATTATAATTCTAGTATTAAAAATCAGAATATGCTTCAGTTATTTACTGAATTTGGGACAACAGAAATACATAGGCATAAAATAGCCATTCATTGCAGAGATTTAAGGGTGGTTATACACTTCAAATTTCAAAATCATAGTATAACTTGAGTGCTTGTTCAAGCTGGATGTTTTTCCAGATTTGTAAGCACTCCAGGGCTGCAGAATTTGTCTGGAAATACCTTGAAAGAGTCTATTCATATTTTTATGGTTATTGATAGTTCATTCAAATATTTCAGAAAGAAGTACCTTTAAAGATTCTCTCTGATATCCAGCCTTGTCCAGAAGTGCAATGCCTAGACCTGCACAAAAAGTACACATATGTAGAACATGTAAAAGATGGTGGATTGTATATTTAAGCAATCATTTTAATAATTTAATGCTCTCTGAAAAAAAAAAAAAGGCTTTAAAAATCAATTTAGGAAGTAAAAGTTAAATTAATGTATTATTTCTTGCAAACTGTAAACCCCCCCAAAACTTTTGCATTCAATTTGTTTTTTTTTTTTTTGCCCTTCTTCTCTTTGAATATACATATTTATCTTAGAGAGTGCCATTACTTAAATGCACAATTTCTACCTCTTACAAGAACAATTACAAAGAACATTTCGAACATACTTACTAGATACGTAAATTAATAACATTGCAAAATAAGAACAACTTCTAGTCAGTTTAATCAATTTCACTCAAAAGCTGAGGACTATTTTGCTATTAATTGCTGTAGAAAAGTAAGAAATAGCCAGATAAAATACATAGCAAGCATTCCTGGAGAATATTTGTCATGTGTTGCTGTTCCATTCTTTTGGACACTTTTGAAAAAGTCTGTGTGACTGACTTGTTTGTGTTGTGAGTCAGAAAGTCTACTGTCTTTTGGCTGGCTAGTGAGGCTTAGAATTTCTGAGTTTTGGTAACATTATATGATTTTTTCAGTACTAATTTCAAATAACAGGGAGTTTTTCATATCCTATAACTTATAAGATCTAGTAAGGTTATTTTGTATTATTAATAATTTCATAGAGAAAATATTCAAAAAAAGAGGATTATTTATGAGGATAAATAATTTTGGCTACTCCTTTCTATTCCTTGTTAGACACATTTGATGTCGTGTAAGATCCTTTAAAACACAATTCTGGTTAATCAAAGGGTCACCTGTATTTCCCCTGTCCTGTACGTATGCTATTGCTGAGCCTCAGTCTAGCAGTCTAATTATCTCTCCAATAGGGTTGTGAATGAATACTGTTAGTGAAAGCAGGTAGTAGATCATATCAAGAGGAAGCGCTGCCATGCTTCGGCTGAAGCAAGCTTTTTATTCCTGTGTAGTAGCCACAACCTTTCATGATGACACACATCCTGCAGCAATTTCTGTTGGGGGTTGACTGAAATGACCTTCATCATTCCTGAAATTGTCTTTGCCCAGCTCAATTCTTGTTTAAATATGCATCTGTGGGAAAGATTGGAATATATTCTAAGATTTTAGACTAAACAGCACTATTCCTTGTGAATTAGAGTTCAGATGGACAGAAGGTTCACGAGTCCTGCCTTTCTCCATCTGTATTTTTTTAGCATAGGGCAGAGGAAAGCAGAGTGCCTGCATTTGCTGTCAAAGTATCAATAATACTTCCTTTCTTTATAAAAAGATTGCATTGCTTTTGAATAGCCAGGTTCCACTGGCCCTAGATTTTTTTTAAGGGACTTTCATTGCCTTTTCCATCTACCAGTCCATCTACCAGTAAAAGCACTTATCAAATCAACCTTAGCTCATCATTTCCCCAAACAGAGAAGTTCTTCCCCTTTCTTCTTCTGGAAGCTCTACAATTGTCAAAACTACTTTTTTTTTTTTTTTTTTTTTTTTTTTTCTATTCTTTATCAACCAGTCCCTGAGTTAACTCTTCTGTCTACTGTTACATTTACTTCAGATGTCTTTTTCTTCTATAGGTGAGATGTTCAGGTTATATCTTGTTGCAGGAAGGCAGTGGAGAGTAAATAGTAAAAGAAACCATAATAAAAGTGGTGTGAGTGGACAGATGCAGTGTCAGAAGCTTCCTTTGAACAGAATGACTTTTTTTGTCCTTTTGTAAGGAAAGGAGAAAGAAGAGAGGAAGATAAGTTCCCGGAAAACTGTGCATTGTTGGGGCAAAAATGTCCTTGTGAAGGGAGTTCCTCATGGGCTCAGTAGGAAATCTGCCCTTCAAGTGAGGAGAGAACCCTGTCAGAGAGCCAGTGCCCTCAGGATCTGTTTCCCAGCCTCAGCTTTTCTGAACCCTGCCTGGGCAGATACCAGTTTGCATACACAGAAATAGGTGTGACTGCTCCTTGAAACCAGCATGGAGGTATAGCTGCTCCAGGGGTAATCCCAGGTAAGACATGCAGATAGAAGGGAGGAATGCTTGTTTCTTGTCCAGAGAGATAGCCAATACAGTTTCATCTCAGAGTCTCTGTTACAGAGAGAACTTCCAGAAGTGAAGACTTGGAAGAAGAAGCCTAAAACAGTTGACTTTTAGTTTCTGGCTCTTTTTGTTAAGATCCTGAAATTTAATGACCAAAGCTACTGATGCAAGATGAGTACTTATGGATCTTCTACCTTGAATAGGTCTTGTTGATAAGCTGCTGTCAGTTTTTAAGGAGAAATACAGCCATCTTTGTCAGCCTTAGTTCATGCCAGAGCACCATTTCACCTCAGTACCAGCAATTTTAAAGTTTCTGTTTTCTAGGTTGGTACACAGTATTGGTAATTATGTGTTACCACGTTTATCATTATCTAAATGTATATAAAATAAATTCATTTTCAATGTACCTGTTCAGAGGAACAAAGCAAGAACTTTTCACTTTGTCTTTCTTCTACTAGCGTAAGAATATTAATTGTTCAGATTTGCC